TGGCGCTGCCAAAAAGTCACGGAAAGAAAGCACATCGTCCGATTCATCTTCAGATGACACAGAGAAACCCAAAAGCAGCATTCCTGTACAGCCACTTCCTGTTACTCCTAAACTATCTAGCACAACCTCAAAACTTCCACTACAGACCCCACAACGTAGAGAGAGCTCCACAGATTCCTCCTCCTCATCGTCACCCAGCCAAGTCGAACCTTCAGCTAAGAAATCACAAGTAGCAACTCAGCCCTCCTCAACTACAATTCAGTCTGTCTCGTCTTCTGTCTCTAAAAAGCCTCAGGATAAGCCAGAGAGCTCAGACTCAGATGCCAGTGAAATAGAGCTTGTGATTAAGAAGCCAAACCTGCATGGAATGGGATTGAAAATTGCTGGTGTGAGCCCTGGTGTTAGTGAGGCAGCAGGCAGGGACAGAGGAAACACAAGAGGTCAGGAGAGAGGCAGAGGTCGAGGTGCGAACCGAGGCAGTGGGAGAGGAGGTTTTGGTAGGGCCAAGGGAACACCGTGGAAACAAGACTTTCATTTCAACTATGAAAATGGCAAGCGGCAGAAACCGTATGATTCTCTGACTAATGAAAGCTTTATTCTGCAGGTGAGATGAATGTGAAGATGTGGTTTATAAGAAGTAGTTACTGTTGCCCAAATTTTTGCAAAAGATCTGCAAGAGAAATGGCCTCTAAATCTAGGGTTTTCAACCAGGGATCTGTTTATAAGATATAGTAATCATAAACAATTTCATTTTATTTGTTTATATAAAAAGCTAGATGTTCTCAGTAACATTTTTTTTAAATATAATATAAATTATTTATTAATATAATAAACACTTTTGTAAAAAGAAACACTAATTAAAACTTAGCTTTTTATGCTGGTCAGTAAAGGTTGAAAACCCTTGCTTTTAATAAAACATTTTCATAATTTCTGTCATAAGTCTAGACTTGGACAACATTTTTATCTAATAGGTCTTAGTTTTATACTTTTCTTTCTATCGTGTTTTAAAATTAAGTAATATGTATTTATTAATAATATTTATTATAAATAAATAATAAATACATATTTATTTTTGTATTTTACACTTTAATCCCTAACTATACAGTTCATGTTGTGTGTTCTTGTAGAATCCACCTGAAATAGCTCCCAAACGAGACTACGCAGCTTTACCCTTGCTGGCAGCTCCCCCTGCAGTGGGCCAAAAAATTGCCTTTAAGGTACAATGTGATATGATGAATGATAATAGATACACTTCAGTTTTTTTTTTAATAACTTGATAGTTTTCCTAGGTTCAGTTACCACATGTAAGTTGTCTGTGAGTTTTTATGGATCTCTCCTGTCTTAAAGCTTTTGGAGCTGACCGAGAACTACACACCGGAGGTGTCTGATTATAAAGTAAGCCATTATACACTTCTTTAATGTAAATTGTGTTGTGTGTAATGTAAATTATGTTGTGTTAAAAACAGTTTGCTGTTGTCATTTAGGAAGGGAAGATTATTGCATTCAATCCTCAAACAAAAGTGATGGAGCTTGAACTGCTCTCTCAACCTCAAGGTACCACTTTTTGTGTTGCCACTGTTGTAAGTTATATAAATTTGACACCTGGAGGTGTAGCTGCTCTATTACACACTAGGTTGGACTCTTCTTTCTGCAGCACTACTTTATTTTATTATGTGTCATTTAGCTCCAGCTGAACCTGGCAAGTTTGACCTGGTATATCAAAATTCTGATGGATCCGAGAGAGTGGAGTATGCTGTCACACATGGATCACAGGTACTGAATGTTCTCTTAAAGAAATAGTCATCCATCTAAAAATGTACTCGCCCTCGGGTCATTCAAGATGTAGATGTGTTTATTTCTTCATTCCATGAAACAGATTTGGAGAAATTTAGCATTACATAATTTGCTTACCAATGGATCCTCTTCAGTGAATGGGTGCCGTCAGAATGAGTCCAAATAGCTGATAAAAACATCACAATAATCCAGACGACTCCAGTCAATCAATAAATCTTTTCTGAAACAACAAGCTGTGTTTGTAAGAAACAAATCCATCAAGACATTTTCAACTTCAAACTGCTGCTTCAGGCTAAAATATGAGTTTTTTTAATCTATAATATTGTGTCTCCAGTGAAAATGTTGTCTCTTCTGAATCAGGAGAGAAATATGCATAAATCAAGCATGGTTTTCAAACGAAAACACTTCAAAATAGTTCTAAACAAATATATCGTTGGATTTTGATGTGAGAGGAGATTAGGGGGTGGACTTTTTTTACTGGACTCCTATTTTGGACAGAAGTGACTGTTTAAAACGCGTTAATGATTGTTTTTTTTTTTTAATACAAACAGCTTTTTTTTGTGTGTTGATGGACTGGAGGCATGTGGATTACTTTTGGATTATTGTGATGTTTTCATCAGCTGTTTGGAGTCTCATTCTGACGGCACCCATTCACTGCACAGGATCCATTGGTGAGCAAATGATTTAATGCTAAATTTCTCCAAATCTGTTCCAGTGAAGAAACAAACTCATCTACATCTTAAAGGGCCTGAGGGTGAGTACATTGTCAGGAATTCATTTTTGGTTGAACTATTCCTTTAAATGTTACATAATAAAACACATCAAGCTCACATCCACATCACATGGATTTTTGAATGGCTGTAACATTGAATTGACCAATCACAATTCAGGGACAGATCTATCTATTTATTAAAAAGTTTTTACTATGGATTGGAAATACATATGAACTGCTCAGGGGTCCTACTAAACAAAGGCAAATGTACTTGGTGTCATTAAGTGAGTATGTGATTAATATGAGTTATATAACACATATACACTAACAAAATTACATTTTGCTATTACCTTTATTGGTGGGGAGATGTTTTAGATATCAGCAAGACAGTGGTAGTCATATGGATAAAAATTGCTTGCCGTAAGAAGAGTGTTTGTGACTAATTAGCACCATGACTAATTATTTCCAGACTCGTGTCGTATTTTAAATTCAGATTAAGGATCATAATTACAAAACTTTCTAGGGAAATGCACTTGACACAAGTTTCAAAGGGATATAAAAGTGCGTAATCCATGTTGAACACATGCAGTGTCCTGACAGTGCTGTTGCAAGCACTGTATGGCAAAGCTCTAAACCCTCTTTTGTAGTTTGGATTGTAACCCCATCCCCCAATCCAACACAAATGTTGCTTTCTGATTATCCCTTTTAATTGTTGAAGTGAATAAGGGCAGTTCTTTGTACAAGTGTAGGCTGTGGTAGGCTAAAACAAGCCTTTCTTTGATGTCTTTCCTACAGCTGACTGAGTGCTGGGATTCTCTTTTGGAGCCCCGGCTCATTGTGGAGAATGTTGGATGATGGTCATACAAAACTTGTTACTTGAGCCAGACCCTTTTTATTTTAATGCTGTTTTGTTGAAACAGCTAATTTCCATAATTGTATTAACTTGTAATTTTATTCTCAATGTCAGTTAAATAAATAGTTTTTATTTTTAATTTTTATATGGGAGTATGTGTGATTGATTTATTATCAGTGTCTGTTTATACAGTGAGTGCAAATAGCCATTATTGGCATAGGCTGTTTTTACTAACTAAAGAGAGAGGTTTTTGTTTTAGTACAAATCGCATAATTCTTTTTACACTTTGTGTGATTATCACTTGTCAGCATTAGCATTTAGTGTAAAAAATATTATTTTTGTTGCTTTTGAGAAGTAAATTTAGTGTTAATTCATGTGTTCAGTTTAATAATAAAGTTTACACTGAGTGAACAAATACTGAAGCAATATGTCTGCTAGAATTTATAATTTATGCAATTCACGTCTTACTGTAAATGAATGCTGAAAATAATATTACAAAATCAAACAACAAGCCTTGAACAAACAAAAAGTGCAAGTGTATTGTTCTTAATTATTTTTGTCCTGTATGGTATGGTTCATAGACTGTAAAAAAAGATGGACGACACGTCTCCTATTCCTTCCACTATAGAAAAGTGAAGCCAAAGCATCTCAGTATGGCCGCTGCCATCTTGAGTAAATGACGTAATTTGGAGCCAGAGTCTGCGCAGTAGTGTCGTGAGGTGGAGCCGCGGTATCAAACTCCCGCCCAAACCCCCGCAGACCCAATCAACCATAACGACACGCCCCGTTTTTGTAGCATCAAATTACTAGCTAAAATCAAACTTATCACAAAAACGAACAATTTAACATATATCAGCATGATAACAACTACCTTAAATGAACAAAACCATCTTTCGGAAAATTGTATTGGAAGTGTAATTTTTTAAAAATTTTATTTTGTATCAAGTCCCATTCGTTTACATGGAGAGGGCGGGGTTTATGACCTGTACTGCAGCCAGCCCCCAGGGGGCGATCAAAGAGCCCGCAGCTTCACTTTTCAGGACGTGTGAGGCACACCCGATATGGTTACATTGTGCAAAAAAGTGAACATGTTTGATGTGTGTATATCATTTAGACTCATCCTTCGCAGGTAAAAGCAATACAGAGATGTATATTTTTTTATATGCAGAGACAGGGTATTACAGTTTTAATTATAAAAAAAAATGTACGTTTCATATGAGATGTTTGATAGGAATAATAATCAAACGAATTGTCTTTATAGCCTGAAGTATTTAATCCATGAGAAAGCAGAATTCTGTTGAGTATTGAAAAATAATAATAAGAATATTCTGAACTGATGTAGCCTGAACTGATTATTCATCCAGCAGTGCTGACACCCTGAGCAAGAGAACAGGAACAGACATAGCTGATAATCTACTCACTGTATCTTTTGTTTTAAAACTGCTTTGATTCGGGATCAGCCCAAAATGATTTCGTTGACACTTGTGTCAGTTGCGTGAACCAATCAAAGCGAGCTCAAGCCGTCGCGTCATACGTGACGTCAAACCCAAGCTAGCGCTCATTCCGGCGCGCGCGACCCCTCCGCAGGCGCTGATGGTTCCTTAGTGCTGCTGCTGCTGCTGAGTGCTGCTGAGGACGAGATGATGGCGGGCGAGCTCACAGCAGCCCAGTCTCTCTAATACAGAGCAATTAACGGCGCCTCGTCACAACGATGGACAGCACTGTCCTCCCCGACCAAGAACAGCTGCTGGTGTTCCTAAAGAAGCTCAAAGAAGTGTTCGACGTGTGCGACGAGGATGCTGACGGATATATTCGGGTTGAGCACTTCGTGGACCTCGGTCTACAGTTCGGCCAAGGAGATGAAGTAAGAACCTCTCTTTATATAATCATTCACTCATTTCCTTCATTCTGGGATGTTTGTCTTTTGGTACTGCAGAGCACCTTTGTATCTTACCTCTTAGTCTCTGGGATTAAGTTAACACTTTCTCCAAATTTGTGCAAACAGGTTGGTTTATCCACGTATCGTATTTTCTGTACGTTAATGGTGCTATAGTTTTATGTAGGCTCTTAGCAGTTTAATAATTGCTCTTCTGCCAAGTAACCAAGGCAACTGTCTCCTCACTCTCCTGCTTCAACTGTGATGTCATCAGGCATCACTTACAGATTCAACAGCTCATGTTATATATATATATGTGTATGTATATGTATATATGTGTGTGTATGTGTATGTGTATGTGTATGTGTATATATGTATGTATATATGTTATGTGTGTGTGTGTGTGTGTGTGTGTATGTAGGAAATATATCACAGAATTAATTGCACAATTGGCCAGTTATAATAAGAAAATGTATAAATGGATAGATGACTATTATGATAGTTAACAGGACATGCAGAACATATACTTAACATGAAGGTAAAATTCATAGAATTAAAGTTTATTTTGTTTATTCAGAAAATTATTTAATGGAAAATGTAACATTGTATGTTGATCTTGCACTTGTGTAAACAAGGCCACGGATAATTCATATCATTGCTGAAAGCCATTCCAGCATGCCAGATAAAATAGGAATGTGGTATTATTTGTTCAGAGAAGAGTCAAGTTGCTAGATGGTTTTTCCCAAATGTGTTCATGAAGACATTGTGATACTTGGCTTAAACATCATACAGGATGCATTAAAAAAATTAAATATT